TTAGAAAGGCTTAATATTTCTCTATAAAATACCATTGCAATTTTAAGAAATATTTTGTTTCTGAACTCTGTTCAGAGGTCTCGGATAGTCAAAAAGAGCAAAGAGTCGATTACGCTATTTAGACACTTTCGTTCAAAGAAACCAATTTCGGTGTCAATGGAAAAAAGAAAGAGCGTAAAAAGTTAGGTTTATAGCTAAATTTTCAGAACAATTTTTTTAGCCAATTCCTTTATATCATCTTTTATTTGTTATCTGGTTAGCAAAACGAGTTTTTGCGCTCGAATTCGCTTGGAACCGGGTCCAGATTTGCGTAAAAAGATAGAAAAGTGTACAATCACCATCTATTTGAAGTAAACCATAGGTTAATCGGTGAACTTTTGATTTACAAACAGCTTTATAAAAAGTGTTTAAAGACTCGGCCAATCTAATACAATAGCATCAATGAAATCCTCACTATGTATGGAATCCTTACCATGTATGGACTTTCCAGAAACGGTTCACCATGTAAGTGATGATCAGCAACAACTCCAACCTGAAGATTGATTGATTGAGTCCATCAGCTTTGATCTTATCTATCTAATTTACCTCATGTTCAGGCCTCTTTGGCCAAACGGCTACACAAAATATGGCTGTCCAAGAGATAATTGCACAATAGCTAATAATGAAACCAGTAGCATAAACACACGTTGAATAGTGCAAAATGAAATGAGATCTGAAAGCCGGGGAGGTTAGTAGGGAAGCTGTTACCCACTTGCAAATGATGAGATATCGGTTGGCGAAGTGGCTCGCGATGAGGACCGTTGTCTGGAATTTCACTTACGGTATTGGGTGCCAGTTTTTAAGGCTGATTCTGGTATTACGGTCATCTTTTAATCATCTCACCTGAGCAAATGAGAAAACGAACATGATCAGCAATATCCTCCCAAGTATCACATCTTTTATATAACCTGTATTTAGAATCAAGAGATCGAAATCGTGAATGTGAACTGTCTGAATGGAACTCATTGAGAGTCAAGATTTCTCACTAACCGGCACTGATAACATGTGAACAACCGAGAATTTTATGTTGAATCCACACATGATCATCATGATTATCTAAAAGGAGCATTATCAAGGGTTACTGTACTCGGTTTACTCTATATTGTGCCATGTGCTTTGTCGATTTCGCATTGATACAATAAAGAAGAAGAATGTTCAGAAATATTGATGAAAAACCCATTGTAAAAGCGTTTAAACGAGCTATTTTGTTGATTAGGAGGGACATCCTGGAAAGGTTTGAGATTAAGGTGAGTGAAGGACAAAGTTTTGAAGGGTTGAACTCTCGGGTTGACTCTTTAAAGCATGTCCCAACTACCGTTACAGCTTCATGATTTGGTCTTTATTGGGGTTTGATTCTTGTCTCCAAGTTTGTTGCTGTTTCCGCTTGCTTGCTTAATCTTTACGACTGATTGGGTACTTTAACATGTTACTGATTGTGGGTTACGGTTACGGTTACTGAACTTTTGATTTATTTATTGAAATATAGAAGGAGAAATGAAAAGAAACAAATATTAGTTTTGTTAAAATCAAAAAAGCAATAAAATTTACGTGGCTAGGACTCAAACCCGAGCCAGAAAGCAGTCAAGCCGAGTCAAGCTTTAAGCCTACTTAAATCGACGTTCGGAAAGTTTTAAACTGAAGCTTTCTTATTAAAGATTCAATATTTTGACTTCCAAAGAACATCGAATCTTTGACCTCAATAAACCCATGCCCAATTTTGATTCACAAAGAGTTACAGGCCAAAAATGAAAGAAGCGGGACAAGAAAAACTAGTCAGACCAATTTCTTTCGGTGTTCCTTTTTCCTTATTCATATCTTCGTCTCAATGGTTCCCTTTTTATCGTATTTTGACCCTTTTAAGCCAATTGAGAAGCAATGAATCTTGGAGAGGGGAAATTTGAGAGATCTGTCTTTTTGTCGTCATCGTAGTTGTTGAATTTTCAATGAGTAAGTCATAGCTTTAGTATAAAGGAGTACAAACTATAGAGTTGTGATAACTTGTTCAAAAATTTGTTTCAAGATTGAAAATGAACTTGTCAAAGGTAGTTTAGAAGCTGAACGGCCAGTAGAGAAGTGTTCAAGAATGAGTCACAGTACGATTGAAGTTGTTAGAGTTGAAATTTCGATAAATCGACATTATTCTACTAGAAAAATAGCTGCAGTAATACTTTTTTAAATGACAAAAATATGGCCAAATACTGTGTAAAATAGATAAAACGATAAAACGTGTTTCCAAATCGTTGTTTTTTTTTGCAAACGATAAGGAACCAATAAGATTAACGATTGGATCAAGGCTACAAACAGCCAGTTAGATAAAACCCCACAAAATGTTTGTCTTTAGGTGAATGGGGGTGGACCTAAGAGAGCCCTTTCACGCAAATCTCAATCCTTTCTTCATTTTTTTCCCTTTTCTCAGAAATGGTTTGCTTTTGGGCTCAAGGGGTTTCATTAGACGAGGTGGAAAGAGAGAATGGAAAGGAGGGTAGAGGAGGAGACATTCTCAAAGAATACATCCCACAAGGCTTTTAAGAATCATGGGATTTTCTTTTGGTTATAGAAACTTAAAAGAGGATTTATAGTTAAAGCAATACAAAGGTAGTCAAAGAAGGCGTTGGCTTTGTAGGTATACAAATACGAACAGAAAATGACTGCAAAATTGTTCAGAACTCAAGACCTTCAAAAACCCTTCGAAAAACCCTCAAGACCTTCAAAAACCCTAAATACTACGAGATTGGGTCTCAAAATTGTGGGTGGATCTCTCTAATAACCCATATTTATCTATTTACTTCATTTTTTCCTCGAAATCCTCAAAATTATTCCCGAAAGCTTCTAAAGAGTCCATAGATTAGAATTGGATTTTCTGTTTTGATGAGGTTTGGGAAGAAAATGGGTTAGACTAGGGAAAACGAGAAAAGTTTATTGTCTAGACTTATTTTAGATCAAAAAACACAACCAAGACGTCAAACATTTACTTAGCATGTAGAAGAAAAGTGGATGAGTTGGGTTGGGTCATGAGAGAAGGGGTAAAGAAGGCGAAAATTGGGAACACGTGTCACGAAGCAAGGCGATTGCAAGCGAGCAGCAAGAAGAAACAGAAAGGTAAAATTTTCCGTAAATTGATCAATTTGCTTTTTTAGAATAAATGAATTGGTTGGTGTAAATGATTTCAAAGACTTTGTTGGATCATGGACTTAGCTTTACCCAAATCACACAATCTAAATAAATAGTACCCTAAAAATTGTCTGTGAATTAGCCTTTTAGTAATTGTTGAAAAGTTTCAAATCAGATGCATTCAGGCTTTATTGCTAAATTCCAACGGATCGCCGATTTGTCGATGATGTGTGTGAGACAGATTGGGTCATGATAGTGTTTTGAGAAGGGAGAAGTTTGTCCAATCTGAACAAAGCTAATGAACTCATTAGTTTTGTTCAAAATAAGTCTTACTCCAGCCATCGATTTGCTTTCTCGATAATAAACTTTCGATACGGTTCGACTAGGAAACAAATCGATATAGAAGACGTTGTTGCATGAGTGCTGGCAAGGAAAATTGAGACATTGACAATTGGTCGTGGGAAAATTGTGGATGTCAAAACAAGGTAAAGGAAGAAAATAAGAGGACCGGCGACTGATAAAAGTCTCTTTTGTCTCGTTTTTGAGGTTTGCATACTGAGGAATTAGCTGAATAATGAAATTGATGTTACTTTAAAGATTAGAGCTATGATCAAACTAGATTTTCTAAAGTTCTACAGGTTATTTTGCGGTTGCTATTTTTCAAAACGAAACCTCTAACAATATCGGCTATCCACTTCCATTCGGTGGATGTTCAAATAAAAGCATCGAGATGAAAACGATGAATAAGACTGAGAGAAGTGGGATCGTTGTCTGGAAGTTTGTCTGGAAGGAATCATATTCCTTTAAGAATCATAGCTTTTTGGTCTATCTAATGCCTTGGTAGTCAAAATCGTTTAACTGGTTCAGTTTTAGAAGTTAAAAGCATTTTTACAACCACAATGGATCAATGAAACGATAAAGATCAAATCCAAGCTTCAGTTCCGTTTCAGAAGTTTGACTAACTAAACATAACTTTTGAAAAATTCTTTTCCGACAATTAATTTCTTTTTATTTTGTTTCTACACGATGTCGCAAGTGTTCAATTTTTAGCGCTTCAATTGTGCCCTGGTGTACTCTCAGTACAAATGATAATCAAAGGTCAGAGATCCTGCAGAACAATTCTTGCAATTTGCTGTATCACTGGACTTAATTAATTATCTTCTATTAAGTCTATGGGATAACCATTATTGGCAGATCTTTTCGATTTCCCTAATTTAAATTAGAGAGTTAAATTCCAATTGCTTGTAAGAGACCGCGCGCTTTCTAAAGCGTGGATGCGCTACCGTACCCCGCACAAAAATTCGCTTTAGCCATTCTTTTCATTTTTCCGCATTTCATGATGGAATCTTTATCCAGCTTTTACGCCGAGTGCCGCTGAGTTTTCTACCCCCTTCGTAAAATTGATTATATTTTTGTAGAGCGTTTTTAAGGTACTCTCTCTTTTCCCTCGTTCGTTCCCTCTCTTTTATATTATTTGCTCATAGTTTGTTGTTTAAATTTCTAATACGGTTTTATTTCATTTTCTTTTTCCTTCCACTCCATTGTTCTGAATCCGTTCACACATGCCGTATAAACTCAACTTAACCAATTCCTTTTAACTAAGACCCAAATCTAAATAATCTGCCACGGCGCGAGCTTGTTATTTCGTCTTGGGTTTCGTGTGAAATCATTTTAGAAAAGGATTGTAACGTCTAAATGTGTTAGGTAAGGGAGCTAGTTACTAACTTGGACAAACAGCAGCATTTCTTTGCTTCTTCATTTTTGCAATATTTTATCCCAGGAATTGCAGTTTTTTTCCTTTGCCAATTGGCCTTATTTTCATCGTCAAACATTTCAGTTATCAGTCAAGAATGTTCACCTCGACTCAACAAATCTTCAAGTCTCTCAATTGTCCCAAATGTGACACACCATGTGGGTTGATTTTGAACCAAATTAATTAGGCTAATTAAATTCGAACGATTTCTAGAGTATTTTCAACATATTTCAAGTAGTACTACAGCGCTTCTGCTTGCTTTCCAAGTATAATAGGCTTTGAGATAGTGTTTGGTGGCTAAAGTACGTCTGACTAGGCAAATTATCGGCTAGAATCATCAAAAGCCCATGAAGATGCTGCATTTAAATGAGCCGGCCAAGAATATCCCAAGAATGCTCGAAACCCAAAACTTTAATTTAAAACCAACTCAGGTCAGCCCAAAACTTGTCAAGTACAGTTTACACTTTAAAACTTTTGAAGTACACAAAATGGGATGTAATTGCTTATTAAAAATGATACAAGTTTCTGTCACGCAATTGCATTTTTTAGACTCGAAAACGGCAGGCGCAGAGAATACGCCAACGCAGACTATTTGCCCTTTTCAAGAAATTCCAGAAATTTGTATGGGATGTTACGAAAAGCAAAGGAAAATCGATCGAAGAATCAATCCAGTGCATCAATGCGGCGAATGGGGTTGTTTTGTTCCCAAGCCAACTCCATCGTATTACTTAATGGGTAAGATTTTTTTAAACAGTAAAAATCTAGAAGACCTTCTTTAAGAGCTCCTCGCAAGTGGGGCTTTCAAATTGGATCAGGAAGGGAAAGGATATGTGCAAACAACCCAATCAATCACAATTCCGGAATGTCCGAGTTGCCAGGAGGAATGTGGGTGATGCATGATTTTAAGAAAGCAATATAGGTTTAGATTCGTTGAGAGATGCCAAAAAAGAGCCATTCACTCTCCATTGTGGACATACTGTCTGTAATGGATGTTTTACCCAAAGGGCCGGTTTTTCGTTCTTCCCGCACAGATGCGCACTGTGCCAAGCCAATAGTTTTCCGCTAATGGTGGTAAAGACACCGGGGGAAAATCGACTTAAAAGTTCGTTTTGGAAAGTGACAACTATTAGTAATATTAATACTAAAACATTAATCAATTTAGCCTTTTTGCGAGAACTTGAAGAAAAATTGACGCCAGAAGAAGCTAAAATGAAAAGCATTTGTGAAGATTGTAGAAAAGAGGTTTGATTGAGATTCTGTTTGAAGGAAAGATTCTTTAGGTGTCTCTCCTCGAAATGTTCCAATGCACGGATTGTGGAGATAAAATGGTAAATGAATTTTGATTAAATCATAAAGAGATCACTGCAGTTATGCCCCCGATGTTCTTGCAAGAATCATCGTCTTCATCAGATTATCGATGTTGAAGTTGTTGAGGTTGGCACAATTTAAGAGCTTCCTGGAGTAAATTGTACTAACGCTTCTGACGCAGAAACTGTGGCAAGTGATTCGCGAAACGATCATCCCACAAATTGAGGCCTACAATGCCTGTTTCCCGGAACTTCAATCGAATTTGATCAAGAATTTCAATAAGTGCCAAAAGGTGAAAACTTTGATTAGAAAAAGTTGATGAGCCTGTGTTTTCAGAAAATTCTCAGTCGAACCGATCAAGTCGCTTACTTCAATGGGTTTGCAGAAGCAAAGGAGCAACAGAAGGCTTGCCTGTGAGTTTTAAACGGTCAAATTAACCAGAAAAGAATTGCACATAAAACAAGAACTTTTGATTAGTGTAACTTTTTCCGAGAGTGGGTCAAGCTAGAGGTTCCACCGCGCACAACGGGTATAACGAAATGTAAAGATTAAAATCGTAGAACGGAGAAATCCAAACAATAACTTTTTTAAGTTGCTACCCGGCTAGCTTAAAAACATTCTTTCATAGAAATCCTTCTACTGGAAAAAAAGTTATTTCAATGAACTTTTACACAGCACAATGCTATTGCATTTTGTCCAATATAAATGAGATAGATATTAGTTTTATACGGATTTATAAAAAATTCAATAAAACATCGGACAACAATCTAAAAAAATCGAAACAAAAAAGGATTTCTTTGAAATAATGTTTTTTATGCTAGCTGGATAGCAACTTAAAAAAATGATTGTTTGGATTTCTGCGTTCTACGATTTTAATTTGGTACTCGATGTGCCCCAGGCCAGGCACAGGCTAGTGGAACATAATGCTAGCTATGTTCTCCCACTGTTAACAGGAAATATCCCAAAAGACTTTTCGATTCTTATTGTTCATTTTGAGAGCATTTGGCGAGAGATTCGAGACGATTTGCGAGAAATATTTGGGTGAATTGCGGTCATTTAACACCGGTATTGAGGTGAGTGCATTTGACATAGGGAATTGTTTTTAAAATTGAGTAAATCAATCCATATAACACTCAATTTCTATTCAAAACTCTCAACCTGTTGTTTTCATATAATCTGAATTCGAAAATGGTGAAAGTGGCAAAACTAAACGATTCAGAAGCTCATCGATGACATCAATGAGTCGCCAAAATGAAATGAAAATCTTTGAACTTTCTCTATTCTGACATTTTTCACTCTTACTCAAGTTTTGTGAATGCAAATTCAATGTCATTTATTTATTTTATTTTTATTTTGAGTGTTTACAACACTGTTTGTTCACTTTCGCAAGATAAATAATCAACATTTCTTGATAAATAATCAACAAAGAGCAAGGAAACGATTCAATGACAACGCTGAAAAAGATTAAGAATTAGAGAACTTTTGGCACGAATCGTTGAGACACTGTAATTTTCTCAATAGCGTATGCGCTTCTATTTTTCAACTATTCTCCAAGATGCGCTTTTATTGGAAAGTGCGCCTTTGTTCCCGCTTAGACTTTCATTTTTTATATTCAAAGAATAATATTCTATGAAGCCTAAACTTTTGACGGCCCGGCATTCATTTCTCTCAATTTTCTGCATTTTTCGTCCAAGCTTGAAAACGGATAAATAATGGAGCAATCTCACCTAGCTGAAGATATGATGAGACATAGAGAAACCCTCCAAAATAGATCCCTACATCGTTCTTAAGCTGCAGCATCAAGGGATCTGTTCTGAAAAAAAGTTATATTCTCTGTTGTGATAGTTTTACTTTATTTGTGCAATAAAGTGTTCATGTAAATTCCATTTATGCACCCGCTTACATACAGTATTTTTTGCTATATTTGTAATAAATAGCTCAAAGTAGCAAAAGGAAAAGTATAAATTTGTGAGTGAATAACAGACAACTATTCATTTACTGCATAACTCACGTGTCTATCATATTGCAATAATATTGAAATCCAAGACCGATCGAATGGAGGAATCGAGCGATCGAATCGGCGATCAACAATAATAATACAACTTTTGATAGACGATATAGATGATTTCGCCAACAGTAAATTGTACACACAAAATTGATGATTATCGAAAAGATTGAGAGCTGAAATTGCGTTGTGATACATTTAGAGAGGTTTTTTTTGATGTTTGTGCCGGCTACAAAAGGGGTATAATCTTTTGAAACACCCAAGATTAGTGACCTCAAAATGGAACTCCGATACGACTCCGTACACTAATACGATTAGTGAAAAAAGTGCTGTTAAACGTTGGCGTGTAGTCCAAAGCGAATGTTCCCAAAACACACGTTTTTTGATTGTTCAAGAGGACGGACTTATTAGGACGATATTCGGATACCAGACCTGGATATCTATCAGACCAATTCGCACTCAAAGAGCTTTTACTTCACTTTAGAGCAGAATTTAATCACAGTAACAACAAAATCAAGCTTTTGACATCTGCCAAATTTTGTATGCACCTACAGCGAATCTTCATTAATTATTTTTGTACAAAATAGGGGGTCTGTGCATCTTTACGACTCACGTAAAATTGAATAACGGTGAATGTGTGATGAAGATTGGGGAATCGATTCAAGTCGGTGATCGTTGTAAAAATGAATCGACATTTGGTAGAAAATGGTAAATGATAAAGAAAATGGCTAAAAGATAGCAAGTTTTGAGTTATTTTACTACTATTCGGTCATAATCTCACAAAATTTTACCCCCTGCATTAAGTCAATTTTGAATTTTAGCCAGACAAGTTTTTAATTTACAAAATGTAATCTAGCAAGACCTTTTTCATTCCATTTTGTAAAGATTGGTAACGTAAATCAATAAATTGACTACTCGAAGCAAGTGAAACTTCCGTGAAAGTGGAACTTGATGCAGAGAGTAAAATTATTGGAGGCAAACCGATCGACCTGTGCCGTAGTATTTACTGAAAGCGAACAAATTTTAAAGCATACCAGCTAACGATATAAACTATGAGAAGAATCTCTTTGTAGAACTCTTTTCTCGGTAATTGTTGTTGTTTTGGAAAAGAATTGGAAGATCTTGTGGCAAATACAGGCATTAGAATAAGTGATAATCGGAAATTTGAGGTTTCACACTCGAATTTCACTGCGTTAAAACTTTAGAGTTCTGAAAACTTGATTGCTTTGCAAAGTGAGCTCTGAGAATTTGATAGCGTTTTTCGGGCAATAAGGGGGTAATTTGAAGGGATTCTTTGTGCAAAGTGACAATTTTAAGAGAAATCTGTTCTAGATTATTACGCAGGGAAAAGCTCGTTTGGTCCATCGAAAATTTGAAGGTTAAAAACGGAAGAAAAACAGAGTGACTAAACTCAATCAGTGTTTTGAGTGTTTTTGTGTTTTTTATTTTTTGACTTTTGGAGAAAGAGCTTTAGAATCTCGGTTAATATATGTGTTCACTGGAGGGATTATCAAATTAAAGAATGTGCTTCGAGCTTTTCAATTCAGGCTTTCTCGCGTAGAAGACAGTGAAAAGAAAAGAATAGTGCTAATGTGTGACAAAGGAGCTGATACAACAAAGTTGACGTTAATGCTCCCGGACAAGGTTGAAAAACCACAATTCTTTCAAACGCTTCATCATTTCCATGTGTTTGGTGCGAATTTCGAGCAGATAAAAAGATAAAATGACAAGCTCCGTTCACTGTGGGGTGAAAATTTTCATTGAGTGAAAATTCATATCGAGAAATTTCGAAAAAGAATTGATAAAAATCGGTTTGAAAAACGGTTTTTAGTAAAATCCGCACTAAAAAATGTGGAGTTTTTTCCCCATACTAAAATCCGCACCAAAAAATGCGGGTTTTTTTCCCCATAGCAAAATTCGCAGTAAAAAGTGCGGATTTTTTCTTCCATAATGGAAGAATCTCAGATCAGATTCAATCTCAGAATCTTTTCTTTTCTTTTTCAAGGATAGATATTTCTGATACTCTCAGAATTCTTAAAGAAAAGATATTTCTGATAATCTATAAATCTATAAAGCCTTTTTCCCTTAAAAACTACCTGAAAACTTTCAAGAGACTATGCGCAAAATTCTCTTTCTGAGGCTTAAGGAAACACACTGAGGTTTAATGAAACAAACAGGTGAAAACCACCAAATTTCTAATCTTTATCGATATCGACGTTTCATCATTTCACTCATCATGAAAACACCTTTGCTCAAATATTTAGGAACTCATTTCATCAAGCAAACGAATCGTTCAACCATTGTGCTTCATGTATCGAATTCTCACGGTGAAAGTGAAAGTGACACAACGAAAACGAGGGAAATACGGGAAAACCTTGATGAACTGTGTTCGAAATCAACAAACCTTGTGAAAATGACTAAATTTCTTTAAAAGATATTAATATTCGATCAAAACTAAAAATTCGCATATTTGTGTAGAAAATTGGATTACTTTTTGCTACTTCCTTTTTGCCCAAAAGTCAGTAGCCTTTGGAATTTTCTTATCATCAGTCAGAGAAAGAATGAAATTTTCAGAAATCCGGATTAAAACCGTTTTACCCCATAAGAAAATGAAAGATTGGCAATGAATCACTATATACTTTGGTATTCTGCTTTGTCTTTTGTTTGTTCAAAATGTTACCTCCATTGAACTTGACACATCGACTTGTGGGTTGCATAGGCGGGGGCGCCTTCGGGAGAGTCTCAGCGTGGGAACCGTTGCAAGAGGGAGATCCGTGAGTTTCGGGAGAGTCTTTGAACTAACTGCTTTTTCCTATTTTATAGTATTTTTGATTTTCGGATTTTCTAACAGTCGCTGGTAGGGTGAGCTTCCCTTGGTTAAATTTGCATCATTTGGTTAAAAAATAATTGCATAATGCCTGATTAATCACTGGATAAATGCAAATTTGATATGCAATTTCGTTAAATTACCTTGCGATCAAATTCTCCCCTTCTTTTTCATCTTTTCCTCTAATTTTTCAGCCAAAAACACTCGCTTTTAGATTAAACAAATTTAGACTCAAAGAACTCGATAATATGTTGCAAAAGCAGAACTTTGATATAGGTAATGTAGGTAGACTTATCCAGATAGCCAATGTTATTCTAAGAAATTTGCTTTTCCATCTCACAAGTGAAGGTCACAAGGCTGCGATGGCCAAATGAAATGAGCCATATACCATACAATGCAGAATTTTACGCTGATTCCGATGCTATTATCCGTTTTTGCAAAATGATTCGGAAACGCGAGGAATCTGGCAAACAAGTTTCAGGTCAAATTAGAGGTCAAAAATCAGACCCTATAGAAGGCTTCTTTCACCGTCCTGAAATGTGAGCTTGTAGTGTAGTGGGTAAGAGCCTTGTTTCACTTTCAATTCCCCTGCTTGCCAAACAGGCTAGCAAGTTCTTGCTCGCGTTCGATAGCTTCCTTTTGTTTAATTTTATTTTGATGTTTAACCGCTCGAATCCACTCTATTTTGAATTTACAATAAGTACAACAAGTTGAAGCAGAAAGTTTTCGTGAAGTAGCCAAAACCAATATTATTACCAGGCTTGAAAAACGATTTCCCGAAGATAAACAATTGTAAGAGATAAAAGTTTTAAGTTTACTGTTAATAGATTAGGAAAGATGATAAAATGAGAAAATTAAAAATAAAATGAACGATACCAAACGATGAATAAAAATCAACGTATGAAAATAAATATTCGCGAACAAACTAATTGGTTAAAAATTTGCATTTAAGGGATTAATCAGACAAAACGACAAAAGAATTACTATAAATATTTATGGTAAATTATTAGCCCACAAGAGAAAACTTAAGATATTCAGTCAACTGCCTACAAATCTATTAATCTGATCAACGTTTTGTCGGGTTAGTTCTTGATTAATTGGTTAATTTGTAAATGCAAATTTTTAAACAATTAATTTGTTTAGACAACAGGAGGCCGCTCTAGTTTCTGGGCCTGCCGAAAGCTAGGCCTGGATCTGGTCTCTTGTCGGATCTAGCCTTGTCTTTGTCAGACAAGCCTGCTCTGACAAAGTAACAAAAAAATGCCAACATTCTTAGAATCCTAACTAATGGTAAAAGTTACGGGCTATCTTCTGGAGTTTCCGGCTGGTTGATAACAAAAGTACGGTATTGGCAATGAGAACTTTTTAGCTGGCTGGCCGTCAAATATCTACATCCCCACCGACCACAAAAAGAACTCGAAAAAAATTTCAAAACGGAGACTGAAAGACTCCTTGGAAAGACTTCAACACCCAAATGTTGTCAAAAATTTGGGTTTTGACAAATATGCGGATGCTGAGGGAAAATGGAAATACGAGATCCGAATGGAATACTGTGCAAAGGGATCACTAAAAGAGTGCGAGTACAGGAGACTGATAGAAAACTTTTCAGCTTTTTACACTTTTAGTTCTCGTCGACTCCGCCGTCGTTTACAACATGAAAAAGGTGTTTTATTGGGCCGAACAGCTATTCAATGTGCTTCTATATTTACGTGACGAAAATGTCGCGCATCGTGATATCAAACCAGGAAAGTGAGTCGGAGAAAGTGTCACTTTCAAAGTGGAATTCACAATGGAATTGACAAATATTGACTTTACCAGCCTGAATCAGAAGCTGGATGGCCTAGCTTTTCAGGAGAATGTACTGAGTAGTGAGCTAGTATCTGGCTTAACCTAGTCCAGCTCGAGCCTACCTAGTTTATTGGATCAGAACGAGTCCAATTCTGATAATAAAGTCTGGGTGGCTCATAAAGCTCTGTAGATCAACCGGACGCCAAATTTCTCTGATTTGTTCATTGTTTTAAGATCTACAACCCTTAAAATCTAAAAAGTAAATGTCTTTGTAAGGCTAAACTTGTCTCTCTCGAGCTTAACGTTAAACATTTCAGTATCATGGTAACCGAGCATTTCGATTTGATGCTTGGCGATTTCGGGCTCGTTCGAGAGATTGATCCGGCCGCTAATTCGACGTTAACTCATACTGGAACAAAACTATACATGTCACCCGAAATAAGCAAACCCATTCGACCAAGACCTGACGAGAGAAAGTTTGATATCTTGATGAAAAGCGACCTCTACTCGATGGGACTCGTGCTTTGGGAGATCATCGAGAGAAGGTTTGAAGTAGAAATTTTAAGTCGTCCAAATCATGTTAAGGTCAAAAAAAGTCAAAAGCCTGGATTTCAGAAAAATCTGTTCTGTGAGCGCTTTCGATTGTTGGGATAAATTGGTCGACGATCTCTGGAGTGACGCTTTTGTGTTACCATTAGCCGAATGCGATCACGAGATCAAGCTGTTAATCCAAATGTAATAGCTTTAATGGAAATTCTGAAGTTTCTGTTTGCAGGTGTGTTGACGCAAAATACTATCGCCGACCCACGACCGAAGAAGCTTGTAAAACGATCCGGGAAATGAATGATGTAAGTTGGTGTGCAGAGTTGGCTATTAACAGTTTCTAATGGGGAGTAATTTCTTAAATTATGCCAGCGCACAGCTCAAAGTGGCCTAACTTGCAAAATAGATGTAAATTGAAGGAACAAAGAAACAGAATAGGAACAAAATTTTTAGGACTAAAGACCAGAGATGTTCCAGCTGGGTCCTAGGGCCTTTTAAGTAGGCCAAAGCTGCCCGAATGCAGGCTTTGTCTTGGGGATTTTTTAAAACGACAGACTTGAATCTGCTCTTGGGCTAACCTTGCCTGGTTTGCCCCGAAAAAATCCGCTTTGAAACAAACTTGCTGATGGCTAAAATGCTAATGCTAATTGCTAATGGCTAGTCAGAACTAAAATCCATTTTTAAGTTGATAGGCTCCCCTAGTTAGCACCGTACTTTGGAATCCTAAATCGTTAAGCTAAATTTTGAAGTTAAAACCAAATTTCAGAGATTCGTGAGCACAGCAATTTGCTTTGAAAACAACAACCGAAATACACTCATTCGCCCGCTCGGCTTCGACGGAACAATGGATGAAGTGTCTGTTTCTGACAGCTATCTCAGTTTTTACGACATCTACCACTGGAATGAACCAAAGTACCGAGAAAACCGAATCGAAAAATTCATCGCCCAATTGGACTCTTTACCAAGAAATTTCCACGAGTTGGAGATATTCTCGAAAATCTATCAAACGCTCTCTCCAGAAGATTTTCTTAACAACCATCTACCGGAGCTCTGCAAAACGGTGCTCAGAAAGGAAATTCTGCAATTTATTGAGGCTCAACGTCTATTTTTGTATCCATACACATTCTACACCGATGAAACGCCATCATTCCAAGAATTCTCAATCCCGGGAAAGCTACTCCAATCATTAATCAATGAAACAGTTTTGGTTTCTGATAAAAAAATTCAGAAAACGGTTTTGGAAAGGGAATGGCGAGCGTTGATTTTATATTTGTGGACACAAAGCTTATTGATGGAAGATTCGTTCAAAAAACTTCACCAAAAGCTGGCCACCTTTTTCTCCGGTGAAATTTTAGAGCTAGAACACCGAGAGTATGTGGAATGGTCCTTAAGCCATAATTTCTCCCTTGAAAACTCAGCCCTCTACAGATTCTATTCAAGATCATTCTTTTCATTTAAACTTTACCGTGTCATTAATAAACCGAATGAGCAATGGATCCAATTGTCAAGAAAAGAAAATCGTTTCATGGAAATCGATCTGAAAGACCCGTACCCATTCAAGGGTGATCGAAACGTTCATGGAAACAAAAACAACAAGGAGAGATGTTTGAGCTAACTATTAGCCATTTGGAAATGGAACAGATTGGAGTAATCTGCATTAATCCAACAGTTTGCCTAATTTCTCCAATCAACGCTCGTCTTGATCCAAGACATCCTTTCAGAGGAACTTTCTTCATCGAAGCACCATTACCCCTGAATACTTATGTCTTTCAATTAAGCGTGAGTCCAATTGGATCAAAAGAGATGATTTACTCACAATTGACAGCTAGAGAACTACTCGATTACAACGCTGCTCACGCTTGGTTCACCGCTCGTCTTACAAGGGAAACCCCAAAAACGAATCTTCCAGAAACAATCGGCTTCTCGTGCTTCTACTTTTTCCGCACTAAACAGATAAAGGATAAAATCTTCTCTAGACCCAAACGATACCTCCTTTTCGATCGACCCACTAATGATCAGCAAGTTCTATGCTTGGATTTGAGCACAAAACAATTGCTCAAGAGATACATCAGAAATGAGGATATCGATGAGGAGAGATTTCAGCTAATGCAGTTCGACAAATTGCTGGAGGTTTTGAAAAAGAATGAAAGTCTGGAAAATAAAGAAAATAAATAGCGCCGACTTTCAAAAATTTCTCTGAAACATAAAAAAACTTTATATAATCCATTATTTGGATACTCAAAAAGGTCTATCATTGCTTTACAAAATGGCTTTTGAGAGATTTCGAAAAGCTTTTGTTTTGTGGATTTTATGTGCTCCTAATTGCAATCAGTCAAAATGACAAGGAGTCCGATTTATCGTTTGACCCGTTCCTTACACAGAAACTTAAATTGATATCGAAACAAAAAAAGTTAGAGCCCATTTAATTATATAAGTGGCCAAATTTTTGTAGTGATCTCGTCAGTCATTTTCTCTAAATGACGATTTATAGATTTTCTGAAAAAAATGATCTTTTATTGAATTGGGGCGCTTTTTGAGTTCTATTTCAAATATCATTTTGTAATCAGTTTTTTTTCAAAGCACCCGTACTTTCCAAAAGTGGGTCTTTGGTATCAAAAAATAGCCCTGAATTTAAGCTATTTTTTGATACCTAATCGCGCATTGTAGCATAAATCAGTGTCGAGAAAAACGCGTTCAAAACTAGACTACGCAACACTCTGCACCGTCATTATGGGTTTGAGGTACTATTACTGTATTTACGGTAAGTCGATGGGCCCCGTCATTCGCTCTTTTTTCCTTTTCAACGTGAAACATTACCCGGGCAGAGTTACGGGTTATCGAACATTTTATATATCGGACCCCGCCCCTTTTGCCATTGGCGATCTAACTTTGAGCTCAAATATCTTGGTGTTGGGCTGTCCAATTTAAATATCCTTGGTATCATTGGATGCGCCAAGTGTTTCTCTGTCGATTGGTATAAAAAGTATTTAAATTGGACAATTATTATACATAATCATTTGTTTTTTTCAGATGAATTCATTTCTCAACCAATTTGATGCGTATCAAGTTTTGAAAAAGCGAACGCATTTAACGCTTTAACGGCGCTTTAACGAAGAACGCTTTAACGACGAAAAAATACGACGAAATTGTGAACAGATTGACAACAATGTCAAGTGAAAGTGAAAGCGAGAAACAGAAGCGAACGACAGAAAAGGCAAATTTGGCACGTCGTTACTCGATTCAATGTATTGAGAACCTAAAAGCAAATGCAAAAGCAAATGCACCTTTTTGTCTGTTCCTTTAAGCTTTGAACGCCGGTCAGGCGAATAAATGTATAATAAAACCAAAGATTAGTAAAAAAGCAGAAAGAAAATGAATCCGAAATCTCTGATAACAATGGGGAGAAGTCCTCTCGGAGGACTCAATTTCAGCAAAGGGGCATTTTAACAACTTTTAATTTTTCAAAATTCAATTCAAAATCAATTTTTTTCTTTTTGCATAAAAATTTTGAAATCAAAAACATGGTAAATTCATTTGAATCTAACCATGTTCGCAGAAGCCGATTACAAAGATTTCGTACACATCTAGTGAAAAAATTTCATTCGTAACCGGCTAGCGAAAAAAATTTTTTGTTTGCTTATCACAAATTTTGTTTTTGACTTTGTCTCCATCCGATTTCCTATTCAAAATGATAAGAAAAACCAAATTTTCGGCAATACGAGCCGGGGAACCTTTTTCTGGATGTTTTGGGGAACAACACTTTTTGTCGCCATGGAGCAGTGGATAGCATCCCGGTCTCCCACCCACACGATCCGGGTTCGGCCCCCGCACGCGATTCCAATTTTTCACAAATCCAAAAGCACGTTGCACAGCTACCTGTAATTCCCTATTCAACGGCGCAAAAGTCATCCTTTGGGGGCTGAAGAGTAGCGCGCACAGACAGACGAACAGAAACGTCTAAAGTCTGAGGTTTGATCTGCCAAAAGGATATGCCACTTTTTGACCGTTTCCCATTAGTAGAAAAACTTAGTCAATATGATGAAACTTTCAAGAAAATCTTCGATAACCCGTCTCCATGCGAGCAATCAATTGAATGGGCCAAAAAAGTTCAAGAACTTCTCAAAGAGAAAGTGTGAGAGAACTCTACTTTTAAGTTTGACTATGAACAACAGCAACAGTTGTTGAAAATAATCTCTTGATGAAAAACTTTATTGCCGAGAATCGTTTGAGTGAGCCCAATGGTGCTGCGGAGTTGGTGAGCCAGATTTGGAAGAAACAATTACAATGGCTTGAGCAAACCTATTACAATGTAGCGAGGAACATCAAAGATTTCCGGGAAAGCAGTCATGGTGCCTGGTTGATGCCTTCTGGGGTTAACGAGTGGATCGAACATCTTGAGAAGCTGGTTCATGATTTCAATACAAAAGCCTACTTTCGCTGCTTTTTCTTGGATGCCTCAAAAGATGAGTGGCTTCTCGTCGGTGTCAATCAACATGGACATCTATTCTTGCGAAAGGATCTCAACTATGCTCAATCATTGCAAGGAGAATGGGTGAACGAGAATCGTTTCGATATCAAGGAACCAAGACAAGACGTGCTAGGCATGAATCAAATGAATTTCACAGGCGATGAGTGCATTTTGGTCGACATGACCATTTCGGCATTGAACAGATTAAAACAGAGAATGATCTTGTTTGCGAAAATGCGAATCAAACGAATATGTCCACTCAGCAATTTGGAAACAAACTTCTACAGTTTTGATCACGGTCAAGAGCTACCAATCGAAGGCTACGTTTTTCGTTTGTCTAACCCACCGCGGGTTGAATGTAATCTGCAATGCGGATTTGTTTACGATCCAAGTTGGGTCATTAAAGAGAGCCAAATTCCTTTGTGTAGCTGCTCAAGCCTTGAAGCCAAACAATATCTAAACATATTTGCCCTTTTTAGCGACATTCTACTCAACCAGCATTTCGAAGACATGATCAGCTGATTTTACGGCGAAATCTTGCCGACCGTGGACAAAAAGTTTACATGCCAAAAATATTTCCTGTTTTACACGTTGAAACGCAAAGAAAAAGTGTCCATTTTCCCACTCGATTTGCCCAATGATAAAACAAAAAAGAAAACGATTTGTTGCATGGATGCAAATTTCAATCTTGTCACGAGAGAACTTTCAAGGAATGATATCAATTTTCAAAGTTTTCATAAAGTGGGTTTTTTGGATTTTGCTAGAATTACCCTTGATAAGCAAGCTGACAGATTTGCCAGTCTTCAGATACAATTGCTTGAGAAACAGCACATTTCAGCAAATGATCCAAAGCGAGAAGAAATCCTTAATGATCCAGATCTCAGAAATTCCTACAAGAAAGACTTTTACAAAGTAATTCCGCATCTAGCAGAAGTGGCTGGAGGGAAAAACGTTGATGAAGTGGTTGCCATTTTAAAATAAAGCCTTTGATGCAAGTGGGCAAAACATTTTAATGTGAGAAAGTGTTTTTTGTCTTAATGAATGCTTTTCTTTTTGTTTTGAATATGGAAAATCACAGCCATAACACTAAGAAAAAACTTGAGATCATCGATATTAGCTGTGCTTTGTGAATGAAATTCAACAAAATGTTTTTAACACTAGGAATACAACAATAGAATGTACTTTGAACACTAAACTAGAAACCCATCTTTTTAATTTTTTATTTAATTTAATTTAACTCTTTCGCGATAACGAGCTGTTGCTCTAAGAAAATGAAAAGAATAATTGCACCAGAATTGTATTTTTACCAGAGGAAAAAATTATTGCGTTTTTTTTTGAAGATTAGCTTTGAGCTCTGGAAAATTTTCTAGTAGTAAGGTGTGTTGTTGTGCATGAAGTTGATGAGTTCAAGAAATATTCACCCTCTTGAAAATCTATTTTTATCAAAGTTTATGATATTTACAATTAGTACCAGAGTTTTTCCAAAGGCAACTTCTCGGGATCAGACCGAATCACAGGCCAAGACAGGGCATGTGAAGATGTTAATAGCAAATGTCTTGAAAAAGAGCTTTAAAATTCTTAGGAGCCGTGATTGCTCACTGGAGAGTTAACTGTCACTGGAATTATCGCAGTCTTTGTCAAGGAGAATTGCTATCAAATTCGTCATTCAGTTGGATAAATGTATATATTTTTGAAATACCTAATATAAATATTTCAGTTTCACTGTATTTTCAATAAATTTATCGAAATTATAATAAAAATTTACAAAAACATCATCAATTCTTCAACTTAACAGCCCCTTGTTCACAGAAGTCACAAATCGTTTCCACTTTCGTGGACAATGCCTGCATTTCTGCCAAATACAGAATCACCGCTAAGTAATGATAAAACTTCGTCTTCTTTAGAATCGATTTTAATTTCCTGAAATTTCTCATCCTTGAACCAATCTTTCAATTTCTCAAAACTCTTTACATTTTGTAGTTGGAGAAGTTGGAGAAGTTGGAGAAATCTCGATTTCTCGGATCTTAGCTCTAGACAAAATCTCGTAATACTCACTAAAAAACCCGGGAATACAAATAGTTTCACACTTGTTCGAGCTTTTGAGCAAAATCTCCTTCATGAAGTCATTGTTCCATTTCCGAACACCGTCCAGATGAATCGATCTGGTACAAAAGAGAATTTGGCTTCAATTATTGACACTTATCGAGAAGTAAAAGTTGGATTAGTTTTACTCTTCTTTTTACGTACGGCCGACTCTTGATATAACGATCATTATATCGAACACATCGTTATATCGAGAGTTGTTCAAGTCATTTCATATGGGGCTCGGTTAGGACTGAGTATGACCATCGCTATATCGAGAGTCGACTGTAATTTGTTTCTTATGCATGAAAATGTCAATAAAGCATTTTATAATTGGCTTGTTTTGATAATAAATGATTGGTCGACAAAAAGCAGATAAAACACTTGAGAAAAAAGAACAATCGTGAACTTGGGTGGACAAAAAAAGACACTTCTCACTCTTTTTGATTGTTATCTTTTAAAAGATCTCTGCACAAATCAATAGGAAAATCTAGTTTCTAGCTTTTTGTCTATCGCTCAAACTTTCCCATAGCTGATGCTCAAAAAGATATTTTCGCAGAACAGAAATTGCAGTTTATAATTCTCTTTTTTACTTAAAAGCTTTACATAAAAGTTTTCTTTT